GACTAAGCACAGAGGCACCGGCCTACGTGTGCATATACCGAGAATCGAACCCGAGACCGCTATGATACCATGTCAGAATCCCAACCACTAGACCATTGGGATAAAAGGGCTTGTTTCAGTAGCGGGTCAGTGCGCCCATAACCCCCCAGGCGAACGCGCCTGTAACCCTCTCCAGGATCAATCGGGCATCCACAGTGCAGATCTACTGACACGAACTTCACTGTGCGGCCCTTAGTATCGAAGGCTAGGACAGGAGGGCTAGCCATGGTAGCAGCAGTAGGAAAAGCAGTAGGAGCAGTAGGGTAGGTAGGGCGGCGCGGCTCGGTACAGGTAGGGCGGCGCGGCTCGGTATAGGTAGGGCGGCGCGGCTCGGGTCGGGCGGCGCGGCTCGGTTCGGGTCGGGCGGCGCGGCTCGGGTCGGGCGGCGCGGCTCGGTTCGGGCGGCTCGGGTCGGGCGGCGCGGCTCGGTTCGGGCGGCTCGGGTCGGTTAGGGCTGGCGGCTCGGGTCGGGCGGCTCGGTTCCGTTAGGGCTGGGCGGCTCGGGTCGGCTCGGTCCGGGCTGCTCGGTCTGGGTGGGGCCGTTCGGGGTCGCTAAGGGCGAGCGCGGGGAGCGGGTGGGGCCGTGAGGGACGAGCGCGGGGCCGACGTGGGTGCTAAGGGCGAGCGCGGGGTCGACGTGGGTGCTAAGGGCGAGCGCGGGGCCTATCGGGGCCGTGAGGGACGAGCGCGGGGCCGATCGGGGCCGTAAGGGACGAGCGCGGGGCCGACGTGGGCCTCTAAGGGCGAGCGCGGGGCCTATCGGGGCCGTGAGGGACGAGCGCGGGGCCGATCGGGGCCGGTAAGGACGAGCGCGGGGCCGACGCGGGCCTCTAGGGGTAAGCGCGGGGCCGATTCGGGGCCTCTAAAAGCGAGCGCGGGGCCGACCGAGGCCTCTAGGTGCGAGAGCGCGGGGCCGACGGGGCCTCTAGGGGCGTGAAAGCCGAGGCGCCCTAGGGCGCAGGTAGGTAGGTAGGTAGTGGTGGGCCCTAAAAAATTGGTCCTAGGAAGGACCTGCTCTGATACCATGTTGAACAAGAATGAATGAACTAAGAGTGAAAATGAGTACAAGTATCAAAACCTAGGAATGTGTACCCCCTATAGGCTAACCCACTGTAGCCTAAACAACTACAACAACATATATAATGTTTGACACGTGCATCGTGCGAGGATATGCAGGGAACACGACGCTCCCGAAATGGACGGAACCAGAGCCGGTGACGACACGTGTCAACGCCGTCAACATGGCACGAGTGATGAACAGCGGAGCTCAGGCCTTCTTGGTACATCTGTACGAGGTCGCAGCTTCCGAGAAAATCGCGGACATCAACACTCTCTGCACAGCAGTCCTTGAGGAGTTGGCGAGCATTATTCGGAAGTATCCCGAAATTTTCGCGGATGACCTCCCGGATGGCCTGCCCTTTCAGCGCCCAGAAGATTATCAAATCCAGCTGGAGCCCGGCGCGCAACCTACTGTGCGGACACAGTGGCGGCTCAGCCAACCAGAGATCGCCGAGTTGCGGAGCCAGCAAGATTATCTACTAGCCAAGGGGTTTATATGGCCAAGCACGTCGCCGTATGCAGCGCCGATACTGTTCACGCCGAAGAAGGACGGGGGCCTACGCATGTACATTGATTATCGGGCACTGAATCGGGTCACGATAAAATCGCGTTACCCGATCCCGCGAACTGACGATCTGCTGGATCAACTTCGCGGAGCTCGTTATTTCTCCAAAATCGACCTGCGAGGAGGCTACCACCAATTTCGCGTGTTCGCTGACGACTGCCCGAAGATGGCTTTTCGCATAGGCTACAGCAGCTATGAATTTACTGTGTTGCCGTTCGGACTGACGAACGCGCCCTCGACGTTCCAGCTGACGATGAACAGGATCTTTCGGGACATGCTGGACAAAAATGTGATTGTGTACCTGGATGATATCCTGGTGTACAGCGCGACAAAAGAGGACCATCTGAGGGATTTGGAGGAGGTGTTCCGGCGTTTACAGGGGCATCGGCTGATTACGAAAGAATCTAAGTGCGAGTTTCTAAAGCCGGAGTTGGAATTTTTGGGGCACGTGGTTTTCGGCGACGGCATCAAAATCGACCCACGTAAAATGGACGCCATCATCAAGTGGAAGCCGCCGACTAATATCTCTGAGTTGCAAAGTTTTTTGGGGTATGTTAACTACGTTCGCCGTTTTGTATCTAATATGGCAGGGATAACCAAGCCGCTGACCGACCTGCTGCATCACGACAGTCATTTTCGGTGGGGGGAGAAGGAGCAGTCCGCCTTCGACGCACTCAAAAACATTTTGGGTTCGCCCCCGGTGCTCCGCCTCGCCGACCCATCTCGACCGTTCAAAGTCATCACGGACGCCAGCGATTTTGCCGTCGGCGCCGTTCTGCTACAGGACTTCGGCAACGGGCTGCAACCCATCGCCTACGAATCACGCAAGATGCAGCCACCCGAGCGCAACTACCCAATCCACGACAAAGAAATGTTGGCCATCGTCCACGCATTTTGTACCTGGCGCTGCTACCTCACGGGAGCCGACGTGACAATTCGAACCGACCACAAATCGCTACAGTACATGCGCACGCAACCGACACTCAACCCACGACAAATCCGGTGGTTGGACTTCCTCGAGTCCAATTTTCGGTACACCATCACGTACAAGAAGGGCGCCAACAACATCGCTGATGCCCTCACCCGACCATCCATGCAAAACGCGGCGGTACTAATCGCAAACACCAACCCGATGCTGATGGGACTATTCACCCACGACTACAAGATTGACAGGTTTTTCAGAAACCCGCACCAACAGGCTGCCACGCCACACGGCAAGTACTACCTAAAAGCCGGTACGAAACGGATTTGGGTACCCGCCTACCAGCCTTTACGGGAGTTGCTGACGCAGGAGGTACACGACTCCAACCTCTCCGGGCATTTCGGCATCGACAAAACACTGAAGCTGTTGCAGCGAAATTATTTCTGGCCGGATATGCTCACCGACGTGCAGCGCTACGTGTCAACTTGCCCGACCTGCTAAGCAATGAAGTCATCGCGAAAAAGGCCAGCCGGATTGTTGCAACCCCTCGCGCCACCCGAACGACCGTGGCAACAGGTGGCGATGGATTTCGTCACGGGGCTTCCAGCTGGCACAAGTGGCAACGACTCAGTAATGGTCGTCGTCGATCGCCTGATGAAAATGGCGCATTTCGCACCATGCCGTACGACAATCACAGCCGAAGATACAACAAAACTCTTCATCTCCACCGTCGTACGCCTACACGGGTTACCTTTGGCGATCATCAGCGATCGAGACCCGAAATTTACGTCGAAGTTCTGGCAGGAGATGTGGGCACAGTACGGTACCCGCCTGCAGTTTTCGTCGTCATACCACCCGCAAACCGACGGACAGACAGAACGGACAAATCAGACTATGGAGCAGCAGATCCGCACCAACTGCCCGGATATTCGCAAGTGGGAGGACTCGCTGCCGATGATGGAATTCGCGTACAACAACGCCCCTTCGGCCACGACTAAACAATCACCCTTCTATTTGAATTACGGGATAGACCCTGTGGTACCCTCATCAACAACTTTGGACAACCCGTTGCCACGATCGCAGCAGTTTGTCACGGAACTGCAGACAGCCCGCACGAAGGCGGCTGATTTTATTCGTAAGGCTAATACCACGGCCAGCCACCAGGCGGACAAACATCGACGGAATTTACCCTTCCGTGCAGGGCAGGTTGTACTTCTGGACACCAAGAACCTTCGTCTGCCGCAGCCAGCGAAACTACAGCCCAGAGACGCGGGACCATTTCGCGTCATCAAGATGGTGACACCTGTCATTGCGAAGCTGTTGCTGCCCGATGATTGGAAAATCCATGACGCGTTCCACGTCAGCCTGCTTCGCCACTACGAACCGCCGCAGTCGCCAGCTGTTGCTCGGCCAGCTATCGCGCCGACCACACGCCCCGTGGCCGAACCCACGCTGGAACCTTGGAAGATTCTCAACCATCGCGTGGATGTGACTGCCGCCGGCCGCTCGGTAAAATTCCTGCTTCGCTGGAAAGAACGCACGAGCAAGGACGACACGTATGTCGCAGCCGACTCACTACAGGGACATCCGGTTGTGGATGCTTACCTGGCCCGCCGAGGTGTCTCGGATATTCACCACCTTTCCAGAATAGTGTGAGGAATTTTCCGATTTCCCTACTGGGTCAGACTATACGCGTACAACCCCGGCTTTCGAAAAACCAGGCTCGGTTCGCCGACCTCGCCTTCCGAGCCACCACCGCATCGCCTTCGGGTTTTCCAACCCCGAAGCTGCACCCAACCATCTCGCGACCCCGCGACCTCGGCCTAGCTAGCACTGCTGTAATAGTCCTAGGCCTCGATGTTTTCTCAGACATTGTAATCACATCTGCATTATTGAGTTCTGAGCACTCTTCCCTTCACAACTCATAACACCAAAGCACAGCTAAGCTAACCTCGTGAAGGCAGAACTACAACAGTGTATAGTTGTACTGTAACTAACCATATGGCTGCCAGCTACTCATACAGAAACATCACAGGATGAACACAAAAACTAGCACACCTGCTGTTCATGGCCTGTCCCATCCTTTGAGGCGTCAAAATGTCAACTCGCCTGGACACCTTGCCTACACGTACAGCCACAGCACCCTCCTTCATCCACCACCAACTCAGCACCAGGACCAAGTGCAGGACCATGGCCACAGTACAGTTTTCCTGTCACTGTACTCTCGAAGTGCCAGTCGCCCCAAAATCCTGAGACCAACAGCCTTTCCCTCGGACAACTGTGCACCCAAATCAGCAGCTTCCTAAAAATAGCACCTTCCTCCCTTCCCCACTTACCTCTCCTGTTTCCCTCACACGTCCAATCCAGCCTGCCTCCTCCCGCTCTGCCATGGCTGCTCACATGTGTCCTGACTACCTATTCACACTTGATGGCCCGGTAAATGTGCCGCACAAAGAGAAGCGCAGCACGGAAACCCACTGCCCCAAGCATGAGGAAGAAGCCATAGCAGACGCAGGCCATGTAGCCAAAGAAGAAGGATGTCTGCATGAAGCCAGTCATGTCCGAGCGTGCAAAGTAGTAGTAGAAGCAGTACGCGTAGATGAAGAAGGCTGTTGAGCCACCGCACAGCACCGATCTGCCAGCATCACCATACAGCACATGGATGGGGGGAGATCACAATATGAAATGTAGCCTGATAAATGTCTAAGGTGAAGATGGTGGATACACAGGAAGATGTTTTGGACATCAAGCAGGTGATGAGAGGCAAGTGAATCACAAATGCCATCAGCAATGAGGGTGGCAGCGCAAGTGAGGAGCAGAAGGCAGATCATGGAGGAACGGAGAAACGGCGGAAACCAAGGATGAGTTACCTCCACCACCACTCATGATCTTCAATCGCCAGCTGGAAGTAGGTGAGCGCAATCGTGATGAAGGCGGTAACAATGATGAGGATGAGGAAGACAATGAAGAGGATGCTATGGATGGTGTAGATCTTATGGCCCCAGAGCGTGGCAAAGATGTAGTAGAGCTCAATGTAGATGGCGCTGAAGGGCAGGAAGCCAGCCATGCACATCTGCACTCCACCAGGGAATCAAAGGGTCGGGACAAGGACAGGCATGGGCTATTGCAAAGATGCAGGAAGATGGTGATGATGAGCAAAAGGATGTGAGATGGACAACGCGAAAAGTGTGCTGGTTTTGACAAAACGAACAGAGAAAGCGGGGTGCTAAGAGGAAAATGGTCGCAAGGGAGGAGGGAAGGGCGGGGTGGGGGAGGAGCGGGGGATGCATGGTGGCAGGAGGGGAAAGTAAGACACGGATGGGGCCCAGCGACCAAGCACCATCAACTTCTCAAGAGCGTCACTTCATCCAGATTCTCTGCCACATACAGTCCCTCCTAGCCACCACCCACACTTCCTCCCTTCTCATTCCCTCCCACCCAAAGTTCACCCTTGCTTCCTTCTCCTCTCCAAATCTGCATCTGTAGACTTTTTCTTGTGACACCCAGATCGTGGGTTCAGCCTTTTCCACCACCCCAGCTCCACCCCCGTCTTGTTGAGATCAACTGACCTGGGGAACAGCCGTCCTGTACCAGGGCAGGGGAGGGATCTCGCGAGGATACTTGCTGGTCCGGCACGGTGCCTCAAACTCGCCTGCGTTCTTCTTCCCCCAGATAGCACCCAGCACCTGAGGGAAGGAGCCCGAGGGGGGGGGGGGGGGGGGGGAGGTAATGTGGGAGTGTGAGGGTGTGTCTGAGAGTTCAAAGGAGTAAAGTGTAGAGGCGGGTTGGGTACAGACGAGGGGGCGGAAATGCAACAGAACTGGGGACTAAGAGAGGACGGTCGCGAATAAACAAGTACCGCACCAGACAAGCAAGCCCGAAAAGGACGGACAGGGAATGGGAGGGGAACGGGGGATGAGGGTCCGGGCCAAAGAGAGAGTAAATGTCGAGTCAGACTGACAATAGGCTACGGAGGGTTGGTAAAAGAAGGAAGCCTACCGTGAGGGGGAAAGTGACAAGCGTCCAAATGACAATGATGATGACGATGGTGCCGAAAGGCAAAGCCTGGGAGGATCCGTAAGCGATGGCGACCGAGTTGTTGAAGGAGAAGACGAGCAGGAAGGGCCCGCAGTAGAGCAGCGCTGTCAGGACCACATTGCGCACCTGAACGCACACCAACCGAGGAGGAAAGTGACGCGATGAAAGCGAGTGAGGCGCAAATCGGGAAACCGAAGTGGCAGAGAGGCGCACAGAGCATGGGATAACAGGCAGCACAGGAGAAAACGTGAGATGCCCCCTGCGTTTGAGGCAGAGCACTCACCCAGTTCTCTCCGCCCATCTGACGGTAAAAAGACGAGGAGACGTAGCCTGCGATGCCTGCAGTGAGGGCATACAGGACAATGCACGCCTGGTACGGAGCACCGCGGTTGTACGGGTAGAAGACTCCAATGAGCGCCAGCGCGAATACAAAGAGCACGAGCACCAGCAACTGCGAGCCCACGCCAACAAGGGCGCAGAAGACACTGTGGCAGGCAAGGGTGTATATTGGGGGAGAGGGAGCGAAGCGTTTGTGATCAACGAGGGGGAGCGGTTGAACAGTGAAGGTAACAGAGACCAGGGCAGAAACGAAGAAAACAAGAGGATTCCGCATTTTGAAAGATGACAGCAGAGAGATGAGATGAGATGAGATGAGATGAGACGAGCTTCAGTCAGGCAACTGCATTTTAAATGAAAGATAAACTCACAACAGCAAATTTACACAGCAAAAAAGGCAGGAAGAAGAAATGACACGTACGAAGGGAATGGAGGGAAGCGGAATACATCTCCGTGAATGTACTTCCAACCAGTCTCCTCCTGCTCCTCTGCAGCCTCGTCATCACGCGTATACCTGGATTACATGGAAGTACGGCAGAGCGCAAGTATTAAGGCGCCTGAACCAGGGAGATGAGGTGCAACAAAACTACAACTCCGCCCCTCGGCTCCACTAGCCCAATATTCAGATACGAAACCTTGATAGCTCTCTTGCGCCCAATTTTTCCCACAAATCCACCAGCCTTCCTCCTTTCACCAACCCTCCTAGACCCCACCATCTACAAATTTTTGGCGCACTCACTTGATGAAGTCGTTCTTGAGCACGCGCATGAGGATGGTGGCGAGGAAGCCGGTGAGCAGCAGCACGGTGACGCACGAGTTAATAATGGAGAACCAGTGAATCTCCAGGTGCTGCGGCATGAATGAGTACCGCGAATACTTCTCCATTCTCTTCTCGAACGGAATGTTCGTCTCCTCCCACCGCACGCTGAAGCTGAATTCCACCTTCACCTCCGCATCCGCGGTGATATCCACCGTCTGCGACGGATCCGTGCTCACGATGATCGCGATGATCCTATCCCCGTTATAAGACACGACGAAATGAACGTGCGTGAACAGGAGGTACCGGACATCCTGGCCGTGGGAGTCCATGCCTCCATCACCGCCAGTGGCGGAATTTGTCTTTCCGATGAATCCCCACACAGGAAGGTCGTCGTAGAACATCTGCGCAAAGAGGGGACAGTTAAAAAGCCAGGACAATCGATGACGCAGAAAGGGTCAAATCCACGACATGACAGGGAAGTAAAAAACCCGAGCTTAAACCATGGTAGTTCCAACGACGTGTATTAGGAGATTCGGGTCGGACAATGAAAAGAAGCCCTGCTATCATGACCATGTGCAGCTCTCGCATTGAAATATAAGGATCGCTGAATAATTGCCTGCTCACGACGGTAGATGCACATTCCGAACACACGAATATAGTCCAAGCATCAAGAAGGATTTTTACCTGGAAGTAGTAATCGTCCTTGACTGCCTGGCGAAACTTCTGAACCTCCTCCACGGACAACGTCTTTGTGCATAGAGACTCGCTCTCTTTGTTCACGCGGAAGCTCAAATCATAAAGCGTCGTCACCAGCCGGTCTCCTTCAATCACCTCGCCAAGGTCCTCCAGCTTGTAGCTCTCCGCCTTGCGGCAGAACGGCAAATCATAGTACTGGTAGGTCTCGCTGCGAATTTGCATCGCAGAGGAAGGACATGAGATACGACATTCAGCAGGCAGCAATCAGACTCAAAAATGATGCTCAGTCGCGAGAACCTAAGAATGAACAAGGATAAACGATTGACTAAACGGGATAAAAAAGAGGTCTGAGTGACCAATAATCTCACAAATAGCGGACCTTTCAGCCTCTAAATGGAGAAACGTCAACCACGATGCTAAAATCATATACAAAAAACAACCAGAAGATGCTGCCACTTCATGAACTAATGCACTATTTAACGCTGGTAAGAATCCGAGAAGACATGTCTTCGTTACCTGGGATTGTGGTAAGGTCCGACTTTGTTCGCGTAAAGTGGAACGGGATCATGTTCCTTGTACGTATGATCCCGAGCGCTTAGAAGCTGACGGTGTCCCCCTTGCGCCACCGCATGAGCAGAAGCTGCAACGACAAAGGCAACTAACAGCAGCACAGGTAGCCGCAACTGTAAGGATATCATCTTGAACCGCTGCGCGGAACCTAGACCGGTAGACTTTGTGGATCCACAGCCGTGGACCCAACCTCTTCTCAACACGAAATGGAGAGAGGAACCGCGAACAGATGCAAGACCTAACCTGTCCTACGGAGAACAACCGCCCCACCTCTCTGCACTCTTTCTACAACAGCAGTATGGAGTGGTGAATGGCTGGATCTGTTTCTGAATTGGTGGGTGAGGGTGGTGTTTGCAAGCACCAACAGATCACAAAAATCTGGCGGGTGACTCTGTCTGTGCGCGGGAATGTCGAGGTGAGGGGGATGTGGGCGGAGAGGAGCCTTGGGGAAGGAAGTACCAGTCACAGAGCCCACCACCTCGTCCTCCCCTCCCCTCGGCCTCTGAGCTCCCCTCCCCTCGACCTGAGCTCCCCTCGGCCTGCACCCGTGCGCATTGTTGGTTCCCCCAGTTTTTGACGAGTTCACTACATGTACCTCGGGCCTAACACAGCAATTCAGTTCTGCGCAAATCGCACCCAACCGCATTGAACTTATCATGTCGCCATAGGGAGTGGTTTGGGCTAGACCAGACCAGGTTCGGAAAATGGAGAAGGTAGGGTTACGGAAAGAGCAGCTACTAAAACCAAGGTCGTATTCTGGGGCAGAAAAAAATACTGGTTCTTGGGTCCTGAAAAATGCTGCATCACTGTGCCCTTGTCAATTCGGGGCTTCCGAGGCTCGAATCGGGTCAGGTTGTCAACTTCTTAGGGCGCGTCATTCTCATATCAGGTCAGCTCAGCTTACGCATCCAGAAACCAATTTCGTAGGGTAACCAGCTAACAAGGGTTAAAACGTGTCCCCATACACAAATGCGCCTATCTGCGGGGACGCTACACGGAGCTGTTCCCCCACGTACTAAATTCGTGCAGATTTCAAAATGTAGGGAAGCCTCAGCAGCTTCCTCCCTCAACAGACGTGTCCCTCCGCAAATCCAATGAACAGATTCGTTTCCAGCACGTATCATAAACGTGTCCCCAGATCTGTGCAGATTTCGAAGAATTGTGTCATTTTGCTGAGACGAACGCGGGGACCCGCCCTTAGGGACACTTCACTTGCTACATCACAGCACAATCCGTCAACCTGAGTGGGACAAAGGTCAGCTCAGCACTGGGTTTCCTGCTGCAAGAGTCTCTAGGGTTTCTCTTTGTCAATGCATTTACGACGACACCTCGATTAGGCTGTTGAATTGGAAGGCTGCTGAATGAGTTAAGGTTGGAGGAGCCATGGGGAAATCAAAAAGCGCCTTCAAGAAGGAGCATCCACTCGGTAGCGTTTGTCATTGTCCACTTTTCACACTCGCTAGCATCGTAGCACCTTGGTGCCTTCACACTGTTGAAGCGTGCACTTCCAGTTTGTCACTATAATAATCCTTCGTACCGTGATGTTGGGTGCTTGCCGATTGGTTTGCAGAGAAGAGGAAGGCCGAAGCTTCAAGGATTCGCGAAAAGTATCCTGACAGGATCCCCGTAAGTCTCTGCATGAGGCTGATTTCAGTACTTAATGTTGTTAAACAGTGACCTCATATCCGGTTCTTACATCTCCAGGTCATTGTGGAGAAAGCTCCGCGCAGTGACATACCAGAGATCGACAAGAAAAAGTACGTTTGAGTTTGCTGCGGTGTTCATCCACGGCTGATTCATGGTTATTAAGTTCACTTCTTGGTCCTGCTCCAGGTACCTCGTCCCAGCAGAGCTCGCCGTAGGGCAGTTCGTCTTTATTATTCGAAAGAGGATAAAGCTTCATCCAGAGAAGGCAATCTTTGTCTTCGTAAACTCTGTGCTACCACCTACTGGTAAGTGGTTTTTGTCTGGTCGAGCTCACTGCCGCTGCGTGCAATGACTCACAACAATGTCTTTTGCGTATGCCTGCAGCCTCACTGATGTCAGCTATTTACGAAGAGCACAAAGACCCTGATGGGTTCCTGTATATGACGTATAGTGGAGAGACTACGTTTGGGCGAGGTGGACTATGAGGTTAACTCAATATGTTTCTCTCATGTAGCATATTGTACAGCTGCTCTTTTTTGTGCGTCATTTTGAAGTCATCTGGACGGACCATCGCGTAGGTTTTGAAGCATTTCATGTGTATCTTTCAGTTTGTTACATGTGCAATGAATCGAGGTAGCGAGGATTGCACTAAGTGTCAAACGAGTACAAAATGTGAGCAAAGGCATGGGCTAACGTTTACAGGCCCCACGTTATCAGGGCAAAACATCCTGATTACCCTGAATTCAGGATGTAGTTTTAAATTTACCCTGTCATTTCAGAATAGTGTAAATTTTAACCCTGAGGCCTCAGGATGTTTTTATATGAAATACCCTGAACATTCAGAATGGCTGTAGTGTTCTTCTCTGTAGCGTCAGGATGAATGCCGAGGCCTGCCCTGACGCGTTTTTTGGTGGGGGGGAGGGGGGGGGGGGGGGGGGGGGGGGGCGGTTGAGGGGGGAGTCCCGTGGCAAAATTCTTGGTAACCGTTGAATCAACCATCTAGACATCCAGAAATGGCCTAGGCAGTAGAAATTTACTTCCGAGAGATGAGAACTTTGGATCGAATCCTCCCCCGTGCAAGCATATCTGTGACTTCAACCTGACTTGCGATTAACTATTATGAACCCCGAACGCTTATACTTTTGCCCTGACAGGCCAGGATTTTTTTTGTAGAAGCCCTGAAATTACAGGAAGCCTCCGAAAAGTTGCCCTGACAAATCAGGGCATTTTTTCAGATTCTGGAAAGTTGCCCTGAGGCCTCAGGATGCCCCAAAACCTAGCACAGGCCCTGAACGTTTATACACGAAACATGCAAACAGTAACGCGGTGCTTGCGAGCTAGCTAGTGCTACGCTGGCAGCGATGTTCGGGCTAGTCCCGAGGCGTAGGCATAGCTAGGATTAGGAGCTAGGGTTTAGACCTAGGCAAGAGAGAGTTGTCCAAGCAAGAAGGGGTTTGCACTATGGAATGTCAGGTACAAATAGAAGAGAAGCAAGATAGGAGTGGTGCACCACCACGTAGAAAACATTTGTGACTACACTACAGCTAAACAACATGCATTTATACAAAACATATGCAATATATGTTATGACACACCCCCTAAATGCATGCAGGAATAGCCTTGTGCAGAATACCCCTTGAAGTGGTGCACCCTGCAAGGAGTAGGAGAAGAAGAGGCGAAGCGAGGAGGAGGAGGGACAGGGAGAGGAGTGTCAGAATGTTATAATTGTCTAGCCTGCAGTGGGGTACTCTATAGCGAGTACAACCCAATTAGGGTTTCCTATATGTATGCCAACTGCTGCTAGTGCAACCCCTCTTCTTCATTCCTCATTTCTTCACATGCTATCAGAGCATCTACGCTCCTGGCCTGTGAGCCCACCTAATTGCTTCCGCTGCTACTCTGTGTGCTGCACGCCCCGTGGCGTGCGACGGAATTTTCTTCCCGTCGGCCGCCCTCTTGTCGAGCACCTCCTGGAGGCCCCTCTCACGGCCCCTCGCGCGACCCTTAGCGGCCCCGTCGCCACCCCTCGCGGCCCCGTCGCCGCCCTTCTCGGCCCCTCGCGGCCCCTTTGCGGCCCCGTTGCCGCCCTTCCAGGCCCCTCGCGGCCCCTTCGCGGCCCCATCGCCGCCCCTAACGGCCCCGTCGCCGACCTTTCAGGCCCCTCGCGGCCCCTTCGCGGCCCCGTCGCCGCCCCTAGCGGCCCGTCGCCGCCCTTCCAGGCCCCTCGCGGCCCATTCGCGGCCCCGTCGCCGCCCCTATCGGCCCCGTCGCCGCCTCCAGCGGCCCCGTCGCCGCCCCTTGCGGCCCCGTCGCCGCCCCTTTCGGCCCTGCCTCGACCCTGCCCCGGCCCCGCCCCGGCCCCGCCCCGGCCATGCTCCGTCGCCTGTCGCGGCGCATCGGGGGCACGTGCCCCGCCCCCCCTCTTTTCCCGTCGCCCGTCGCGGCTCCCTGGGGGGCCGACCTGGGGGGGGGGGGGGCGAGCGTCGCCCCTTCTGCCGCTTGTTTTGGCGCCCTGGGAGGCCGTGCGTCGCCCCCCCCCCCCCCCCTCGTAACCTCCCTACCATTCGCCCGGCCCTGCCCTGTGTTAGGGTTTGGGGGTGGCGAATAGGGGGTGGCGGGTGTGTGGTCTCCCCTGCTCCTCCTCCTCCTCTGTCTCCCACTGCTGCAGCTACCGCTGAGGTGGGTGGGTGTGTGGGAGTCGACGGAGTGGTGCTAGGGGGTGGGGTTTGAGTGAACCTAGGGTGCAGCAGGGGGTGTGTGAAAGGGGGGTGCTGTGGGAGTGGAACTAGGGTTTGAGCTGGGGGTGTGTGTCGAGGGGTGTGGGGCAGCTGGAGGAGGTTGTGTGAAGGTAGCTGTCGTGTCGCCTGCAGCGCCTGTAGTCCGTCGCCCTTGCTTCGGTAGCCAGTGAGCCTGTTGCACCAGTCGCCAGTGGGTCCGTTGCTCCTGCCGCTTGTCTATAGCCGCGGAGCCAGTTATTCCAGTAGTCCGTCGCCCTTGCTTCGGTAGCCACTGAGTCAGCCGCTTCTGTGCCAGTGCCTCTGCAGCTTCAGTCGTTGCCTCCCATCTTCTCTCCCTCCACAGTTCCTCCTCCTCCTCACTTGCCCGCTGTGATTAACTCTAGCTTTGCTCGCTATTGTGAACTCCTGCTCTATGCCTGCTTGCTCATTGTGCTGATTACACCCCACTTTGGCTGTGGGGGTGTGTCAGAATGTTATAATTGTCTAGCCTGCAGTGGGGTACTCTATAACGAGTACAACCCAATTAGGGTTTCCTATATGTATGCCAACTGCTGCTAGTGCAACCCCTCTTCTTCATTCCTCATTTCTTCACAAGGAGTGGAGATAGGAGGCGACAGGTGAAGCCGCAGTCACACGGGCAACAGGAGCGGCGCGCACAGTGGCTACCGAGCGCACGAAGGCATCGGACTACGGGAGTATCTGGCTCCGCGGCTACGACGAGCGGTAGGAGCAACGGACCCACAGGCGACTGACGAAGCAGGCTGGCTGGGCTACCGAGAGCACGAGGGCTCCGGACTACTGGCGCTGCTGACGACACGACGGCGACCTCCGCTCAACCTCCCCTAACAGACCCACACCCCCTTCTCACACACCCCCTTGCTGCACCCCTAGCTCCACTCCCACGACACCCCCTTAGCGCCACTCCCTTGGCTCCCACACACCCACCCCCCTCAGCGACAGCTGCAGTAGTGGAGACGGAGTAGGAGGAGGAGCAGGGAACGGGTGACACACCCGCCACCCCCATACACGCCACCCCAAGATCCAAACGCAGGCAGGGCAGGGCGGGTAGCAGCTGGGGCGGCGTGCAGCAGAAAGCAGGGCGGGGCGCGGGTCCCTGGGGCGCAGTGACGGGCGACGAACAGGGCGGCGCGCGGGCCCCCAGGGCGCCACGACGGGCGACAGGAGAGGGGCGACGCGCGGGCCCCTGGGGCGCCAGGACGGGCGACGGGAGGGGGGCGACGCGCGGGTCCCCGGGGCGCCACGACGGGCGACGGGAGGGGGGCGACGCGCGGGCCCCTAGGGCGCCACGACGGGCGACGGGAGGGGACAGCGCGCGGGCCCCCGGGGCGCCACGACGGACGACGAAACCGCCGCGTGCTCCCCGGGCGCGCGGCGGGCAGGAAACCACCACGCGCCCCGAGCGCGCGGCGGGTAGAAAACCACCACGCGCTCGGGGCGCGTGGCGGGAAGAAAAAACGCCGCGCGCGACGGGGCGTGCGACAGACAGGACAGCAGCGGAATCATGCAGGGTGGGCCCACAGGCTAGGATCGAACGAGCTCTTAATACCATGCTAGAATAGTAGGCATAGCTAGGACTAGGAGCTAGGATTTAGACATAGGCAAGAGAGAGTTGTCCAAGCAAGAAGGTGTTTGCACTATGGAATGTCAGATACAAATAGAAGAGAAGCAAGCCAGGAGCGGTGCATCACCACGCAGAATACATTTGTGACTACACTACAGCTAGACTATATGCACTTATACTAAACATATGCAATATATGTTCTGACAGTAGGCCGACACGGCCGGGCTAGCAAAGCAATGCATGGTTTGGTGAAACAGTGCGCGCGAAGTCGGCGAAGCACCGTTAGTTGTAACGGGCGAACAACGGCTGCTGCTGCACCCGGCTATCCTCAGTTGGCGTGCGATACTTCCAGCGAATGAGGAACTCGATCCTCCTGATTCCCGTGAGGTGTCAAATACCATAATCCCCCGTATATAGGACCCCCCCCCAGTTGTAGACCCCCGGTTCTATAATACGGACCCGGGTAATCTATTCGAGTACATCTGAGTTATACCCCCCTAAATGGCTCATGACATAATAAGACCCCCCCACATCCTAAAGAAGTGCGGATTTTACAAAAATGGAATAGGCAGCCATCTTCTATGCGACAGCTAGCCGAGCACAGTACGGGGAAAGAAACAGGAGGGGGAAGTGAAGACAGCCCGATGAACAAGGGCGTGCAAGAATTGTCAAGAATAGAAGTGTTCATTCATTGATGTGGTGGGTTGGGCTATATACCGTCATCGCCCGGATATAAGACAGTGTTGAATAGTAGACATGGGTTGTCTATTATACGGGTTGTGAGAAAAGTACGAGTGAATGGATCAACTAGTAAACAGGTGGGTACAAGTAATAAAACCTAAAAGTGTTGTACCCCATATTGTCTACCCCGCTACATGTGAGAATAAGCGAACAGGAATGAATGAAACTAGCAGTGAAATGAGTACAAGTAGGAAACCCTAGAATTGTGTACCCCCTATAGGCTAACCCACTGTAGCCTACACAAGCATAACATGTATAATGTTTGACACACCCCCATAGGCAAAGTGGGGGAGAACAAGGGGTCACAAGACCAGTCAAGCAAAGCAAAGCAAGCTCAGGGTGGATCACAAAGTCACCACACAGTCCGAGCACAAGAGCAGGGCCAGAGGCCAGTTCACATGCAGGAGTACAGACATATATATAA